AAATGAACGCCAAGACGGAGGTTGGCCAATCACTTCTGACTGCTCAAATGGGGATAATGACCCCAAAGATTGGAGCTATGAATCGAAGTGGATTGTGCGATGTTCTTCACAAACGAACTGAGGCGAGCAACAGTCGCCATGGGACTGGAAACTTTATGGGGACACTGTACGTCTATTTTTGAGTACGTCCCTGCAACTGGCCTGGAGAGTCGTGTAAAAATATTTGAACTTTCCGTATGACCTCATATTCCAGTTAATGATGGGTATGTGATACAAACATGTAGGTGATATTTATGATTTCAACCGAATCTCCTAACACTGGTTACCCCGGGTTAAGTAGAGCTGAATGTTACCAGGCGCGTCCCCGGGTTGTGTATAGGAGGATGACTTCATCGAAGAAAGTTAGCTGTGAATAAGTTTTGGCATACAGCAATAAATAAGCAGTCGCGAACAAACAGCGACGGCGCTACCAGGGTGGTGGGTTTTAGGCTGGTCACCTGGCTCCTGTTTAAAAGCCACATAGGCCCAATGACGGCGTCGTGGCAAAGGTCGATGTGACTGGCCTTATAAAAGTAAAGCTATTGGCCCCCTCACTTCCTAGGCGATGGCTTACTTCCTGCTGTCTTGCAATTCGCAATTGGTTGTGCAAAGGCTAGAGGTTCGCCCTGAAAATACAAAACGCCGAGTGACGCTGGGGACGTCTCTCGTACCAAATTCCCGAGTAACCTCATGATCATGTCTGGATTCAGCCGCTGTAAAGTAAAAGTAATCTCATAATGCACAGCTCAAGTGAACTATCAGAAAACGAAGGATTGTACGGTACCATTGGCCAGTGCAACTTTCTCCTTCCCTGTTTCCATGTGCACTTGCATATCTCGTTCTGTGTGCGTGCCCGATCGTGTTATGTTATGCTTACCTGATATGAGTGTAGTAATGCAGAGTTTTAAGTAATGGCGATTACAAACTGGAGAAAGTGGCCGACCTCCATAGATAACACTGGTTGTGGCATGTGTTGCGCGTATTACGAAATAGATTAGCACTGCATGCGATGTTTGCCCAGGCAAGCAGTGGATGTAAAAAGGTGAGGGTAGGGAAACCCTGACTAGGAGACTCGATCATATAAGTCGCACTCGGCCCCCGTGATGGGGACCTGGAAATCATGGTCACCGAAGGTTGGAGATACAGCTAAGTGTGGCTCGCGCATCTAATCCTCGTCCTTGCAAACACAGTTTGTGTGAGTTCTCCATCCCAATTTTGTCTCTGCTCTCAACGTTCTAACTGGACAGCAGCCACGACCACCGTAC